CTCCACCCATTTTTACGGAAATACAATACACTGTAACTGTCATGATTCTCAAAGAAACTCAAAACACTGTGTCACCGACCCAGGACCGTGACAGTAACGCTTAGTTATACCAGATTTTATCAGAGATATTGGAGCCAATGTGACTACCCTGAACAGAAACCAGAATGAAATCGATCCATTTGATAAGTGTGAGCTTGCTCAACAGGATGTAGGTCACTTAGCTCTTTCCTGATAAGAACATTAGAGGAGGTTGTGACTGGATGCTGAAGACATTTATTCACTCGTGACCCTGTTTCTCAGACACCGCGGCATCTTTTCTTGGTTTTTGTTACACAATAAAGAAGGTGCACAAAGCAAATTAGGTGCAAAAAAAAGAAAATGTCTAATTTGAATGGAAGGAAGGCATTTTACATATGTTCTAATGTTATATTAGTGTTTAACACTGATTGTCTAAAAATGATTAAATGATTGTCTTGTCTGTTGTCCAAATAGACCTAAAAATGAATAATTGCTCCTCAATTATTAAAAACCTTTCTTGTTTTTATGGAAACCACAGTGACCCTACGTGTGTTTAGGCTTTAGAGAAAGGGAAAACAGGAAAGTTAACACTAATGAGGATTTACTGATGCATGTCCAGTCAGAACTTGTGCCCTGTTGTAATATTCATACATATAAAGTATGACAGAGAAAAACTCTGTCATGCCATGTGTCACTTTATTGCTGTGCCTATCTCCCATTTCCCTTGCAAAATATACAGAAATGAGGGGTTGCAAGACTTTTGCACAGTCTTACAGATCACGTTCATAACTTAACTGTTAAATATTCCCATCCTACCAGTTTCAGGGTTTTTTTCTGTTTTATCCTTCTTTCTATAATTATCATGGTAATTATAGTGACTCATTTAACTGGCAGATTGTTGTTAATGTTTTCTTTCTTTCTTTCTTTCTTTTTTACCAAAAACAGACTATATTCTTTTTTGTTTTTGTTTTTGTCCCTGTCAGCAGAAATGATTATATCCCTGCAATTGCAAGTAAGCCCAAGATTCCCCGTACACCTGACACAGCAACCAACCAGAACAGTGCTCACCGGGGTAGAGGCCTGGCCCTGGCTCCCCAGTTCTCACAGTCTGAGCCGCAGCAGAGCAGCCGGCCTGGCTCTGCCAGCTCCACAGGAGGAGGCGGGAATGGAAGTAAGCGTAAGAGCGGGAAATCAACACCAGTCTGGCAGATTTTGGCCCCATCTGGTTACTTCATCTATGCTGCCAACCACTCTAGATGGTGGCCAGCACTGATTTAAATGTTCAGTGACTCTCAGAAAAGAGTTGCTGTAGATGCACTTTAAGCAATAGTATATTACATTTTTAAAACCAATACAGATATGTGGCGATTAAAAAATCTGAC